AATAGTCTAAATGACCCTTACATTATCTGTATAGCCAGAGGTGGCTAATAGCTCAAACGACTTTTATGCTATCTGTACGACTGAGACCAGGTCAGACCCTTTGTTAAGTCCTTAAGCTAATACAGCCTGGAAGCCAGTACAGGTGGCCCATCTCCAGAACCCTTCTTCTCAGAAGAAACATGTATCCTGAGTTGAGTTTTGATGTAATTGTGCTTCCTTGTGCACTGGGGATAGTATTACACCAGGAAACTTTTTCCAAATTATACTGTGTTTAGATATACTGACAACAAAGTACCTGGAATCAGACTCCCATAGGTTTGATCCAAGTTGACAAAGTCAGTCTCAACCGAATTTTCATTCTCACTTGTGGCCTGTATCCCTGCCTGACACCTGCGGAGACCCCTCATGGATGCAGTAAGATATCACTTTGAAACATCAGCAACACACAAGAAGTGGAACATAAAATACAATATTAGTACGTTTTAAATTTTAAAATTGAACACATTAAGTGAAGAAAGGAGTGTAGTCGCATAAGCTCGAGATGTATAGTCGAATGATAGAGTAGCTTGTCCAGCATGTGCAGAGTCCTCTACAGCACTGTCGAAAACATATACAGGGCAAGTGAGCTGGCTCAGTGAGGGAAGATGCTGGTGCCATGCCCGACGAGCTGAGCTCAACCCAGGCATCCACAAAGCAGAAGGAAGAACAAACCTTCAAGTTGTCCTCTGACCTCCACGTACATGGTATGGCATGTGCATCCCAAAATAAATAAGAATATTCTAAAATGTTTAATGTGTAGTTCTTCATTAGGGACATTTATAAAACTCGATGTCTATATGTTTACTTGTTTATCTACACCTTAAGGATAAAGATCTCCTATGGGTATATGTAAATGGAGACACTGAATTTATTCATAGATTAGATTAGTTTTATAAACATAAATATACTGTAATTATCATTTTCTTCAAACTTAACTACAAGCAATTTAAATCCAAAGTATCAATAGACTTTTTTTTAATTTATTAAAGATTTCTGTCTCTTCCCCCCCCTCCGCTTCCCCTTTCCCTCCCCCTCCCCCAATCAAATCCCCCTCCCTCGTCAGCCCAAAGAGCAATCAGGGTTCTCTGCCCTGTGGGAAGTCCAAGGACCACCCTCCTCCATCCAGGTCTAGTAAGGTGAGCATCCAAACAGCCTAGGCTCCCACAAGGCCACTACGTGCAGTAGGATCAAAAAGCCATTGCCATTGTTCTTGAGGTCTCAGTAGTCCTCATTGTCTGCTATGTTCAGTGAGACCTGTTTTAACCCAGGCTTTTTCAGACCCAGGCCAGCTGGCCTTGGTGAGTTCCCGATAGAACATCCCCATTGTCTCAGTGTGTGGGTGCACCCCTCACGGTCCTGAGTTCCTTGCTCGTGCTCTCTCTCCTTCTGCTCCTGATTTGGACCTTGAGATTTCAGTCCGGTGCTCCAATGTGGGTCTCTGTCTCTGTCTCCTTTCATCGCCTGATGAAGGTTAATATTCAGGAGGATGCCTATATGTTTTTCTTTGGGTTCTCCTTCTTATTTAGCTTCTCTAAGAACCCGAATTATAGGCTCAATGTCCTTTATTTATGGCTAGAAACCAAATATGAGTGAGTACATCCCATGTTCCTCTTTTTGGGTCTGGCTTACCTCACTCAGGATAGTGTTTTCTATTTCCATCCATTTGCCTGCAAACTTCAAGAAGTCCTTGTTTTTTACTGCTGAGTAGTACTCTAATATGTATATATTCCATACTTTCTTCATCCATTCTTCAATTGAAGGGCATCTAGGTTGTTTCCAGGTTCTGGCTATTACAAACAATGCTGCTATGAACATAGTAGAGCATATACTTTTGTTGTATGATAAGGCCTCTCTTGGGTATATTCCCAAGAGTGGTATTGCTGGGTCCATGGGTAGGTTGATCCCGAATTTCCTGAGAAACCTCCACACTGCTTTCCAGAGTGGTTGCACAAGTTTGCATTCCCACCAGCAATGGATGAGTGTACCCCTTTCTCCACAACCTCTCCAGCAAAGGCTATCATTGGTGTTTTTGATTTTAGCCATTCTGACAGGTGTAAGATGGTATCTTAAAGTTGTCTTGATTTGCATTTCCCTGATCGCTAAGGAAGTTGAGCATGACCTTAGGTGTCTTTTGGCCATTTGAACTTCTTCTGTTGAGAGATCTCTGTTCAGCTCAGTGCCCCATTTTATAATTGGGTTGATTAGCCTTTTACAGTCTAGTTTCTTGAGTTCTTTATATATTTTGGAGATCAGACCTTTGTCAGTTGTGGGGTTGGTGAAGATTTTCTCCCAGTCAGTGGGTTGCCTTTCTGTCTTAGCGACAGTGTCCTTTGCTTTACAGAAGCTTCTCAGTCTCAGGAGGTCCCATTTATTCAATGCGGCCCTTACTGTCTGTGCTGCTGGGGTTATACATAGGAAGTGGTGTCCTGTGCCCACGTGTTGTAGAGTACTTCCCACTTTCTCTTCTATCAGGTTCAGTGTGTTCAGACTGATATTGAGGTCTTTAATCCACTTGGACTTGAGTTTTGTGCATGGTGACAGATAGACTTTTTTTTAAAGAGGTGGCGTGGCATGTGATCTTTCTTGGTTATTGGCATGTGAACATAAATGATTAATACTTCAAAGCAGTAGTTTCAAAACCAGTGTACACAAAGGTACTCTCCATGTTTATTGATGAACTATTCACAATAGCTAGGAAATATGACCACCCAAGATATCCACTAACAGATAAATGGATAGAGGAAACATGGTACACATAGATAATGGAATTTTATTTGTCTATAAATAAAAATGTAATCATGATATTTGCTAGGAAATGGATGCACTGAAGATTGTTTTTGTTTGTTTTGTCTTTTTGAAACAGGGTTTCTCTGTATAACAGCTCTGGCTGTCCTGGAACTCACTCTATACACCAGGCTGACCTTGAACTCACAGAGATCTGCCTGCCTCTGCCTCCCAAATGCTAGGATTAAAGGCATGTTATATTGAATTGAAATAAACCAGACTCAGAAAGATAATACTGCATGTTTTCTCTCATGTGTAGACTCTAGATTTAATGTGTGTGTGTCACTTTAGGGACAGAGTCAGGCAGATCTCTGTGAGTTCAAGGACAGCCAGGTCTACAGAGTTCCAGGACAGCCAAAGATACACAGAGAAACCCTGTCTCAAAAGGCAAAAAAATTGAAAATAAAATAAAAGAAAAGAAATAGAGTTTAAAATAAAGCCATGTAAAGATGAAAGGTATAGGGCTAGAGAGATGTCTTAGCAGTTAAGAGCATTGCCTGCTCTTCCAAAGGTCCTGAGTTCAATTCCCAGCAACCACATGGTGGCTCACAACCATCTGTAATGAGGTCTGGTGCCCTCTTCTGGCCTGCAGACATACATGCAGACAGAATATTGTATGCATAATAAATAAAAAATATTTTTTAAAAAGATGAAAAATATACAAAGAGTCTGGATACTGTATGTTATTGACTTTAAATTGTTTGATGGCTGAGGAAGGAGCAAAAGCTGCTAAAAGATATTTGATTATAAATGCTGCTAGATTAATTTAACATATATATTTTGAAAATGCCTTGACTCCAAATTTAAGTCATAAGGTATGTTACTTTGGAGAAGGGGTTTTGCTTTTGTTTCCACAGGAAATGGGAAGCTGTAGATTCATTCTGAGTTAAAAAAAAAAAAAGGTTTGATCAAGGAAGACCTCCTGAGAAATCTCTGATAGGAGGAATGGCCCAGATATCTGAGTTCTACATCCAGAACAGATTCAAGACTGCTGCCCGAGATGATCACGACTTACAGGATTCTCCAGTCAGGACTTGACCATAATTCTAAATTTTCTTTAGGTCCCCATAAGATTATCAGTGCCCCCAATCAGCAGGAAGTAGCCTGGAAAACTATGCCCACATTCCTAAAATATGGATTATGGATGTTTGCCTTTGTTTAGATTGTTGGTTACAAGTTGTTATAGATAAATAATGATCAGTAGAAAAGCTAAACAAAGGAGATTCAATTCAGAGCTCTTGTTTAAAAAAAAGGGGGGGGGTTGCTGTGGGACAATGGTCTGTACCCTGTCACTTGTCTTTTAAATAAACGCTGATTGGCCAGTAGCCAGGCAGGAAGTATAGGTAGGGCAATGGAGACCAGGCTGGAAGTAGAGGCAGGGCAACAAGAATTATGGGAAGAGGAAAGTTTCAGTCCACAGTCATCACCCAGGCTCAGAGGAAGCCAGACATAGAGCAAGCTAGATGTGACTGCCATGCCGAAAAAGGTACTAAGCCATGTGGTTAATATAGACAAGTATTAAGAGCTAATATAAGTTATAAGAGTTAATAAGAAGCCTGAGCTAATAGGCCAATCAGTTTATAATTAATGTAGATCTCTGTGTGTTTATCTGGAACTAAATTGATGTGGGACCTAGTGGGATAAAAATCTTGGACAAGTATGTTTAGAACTTTCATCTATAAATGAGACAAAAAAAATACCAACAGAAAAATAGGCAAAAGACTCGAATAGGCACATCCAGCCAAATAGGGAAACTATAATGTATTTTAAAACTACAATGAGAAACTAGAATGTGAAAATAAGATTTAAAAAATGCATCACAAAGTCAAGATGTAGTGCAGTGAGGACATCTACACTCTGGTAACAGCACGAATTCATACAGCCTCGTTTGGAAACTGGCATTATTTGATCAAGCTAAATATAAGGAGATTGATGCAGGAGGGTTTCTGTAAAATCAAGACCAGCCCAGACTACATAGTCCAAATGACAACAAAAGCAAACTTCAAATATAGCAATTTTAAGAACAGTAAAGATATTCTTGTAAAAGTAAAAGGAACAAACAAGAACATCTTATAAGGTGGCAAATCTAAGTTGTACCTCCATGTTTTCCTGACAGTATGAAACGTGCCAGTTTAAAGGTTGAGAAAAATAAATACTTTGATTGGGAAAATACTCACATTCTCGAAAATGACTTAATTTGGTCATTACTTTTTCCTTGAACAACTGAATGACCTGTTCAACAATCTCCCGGTTTCGATTCTGGCTTAGAGCACCCATGTATTTCTCGAGAAGAGGGATGTTTTTCAGATTCCAGATGAAGTTCTCCCGATGAAGAAGATTTAACTTCGGATGATGAAATTCCTAGATGAAAAGCAAGAAACAGGAGAGGATGTAGCTTAGACGGTAGAATGCACAATGCCCTACCTGGATCCAGTAAAAACTAGGCATGATAGCATTTGCCTACAAACCCAGCACCTGAGAGGTGGATACAGGAAGATCAGAAGCTCAGAATCATCCTTGGCTACATAGTGAGTCTGGGCTTGCCTCAAAAAAAAAAAAAAAAAAAAAAAGTAAATAAATAATTTTTTTAAAAGCAAGAGACAGCCTGTTGACACCTTGACACCCTATATCTCTATGGAGAGATCAGTGTCTTGACACACTCTCTCTTCAAAAGGTGCCTACAGGAGGCAGATGGCACTCTCTTATGCCAACTGTCCTGCCTCATTTATGGTAACCCATAAAGCAAGGTGGATGAAGTGACACCTCTTAAAATCCAGCCTCATGTGGGGTTCCCCTCTGTATGCTGTGAATACCATTGGTGAATAAAGAAAACTTCCTTGGCCTGCTGATAGGGCAGAATTTGGATAGGTGGGGAAAAACTAAACTGAATGCTGGGAGAAAGAAGACAGAGGCAGAGAGAAGCCAAGTAGCCCTGCTGGAGATAGACGCTGGAACTTTACCCGGTAGGTCGCAGCCACGTGGCGATACACGGATTACTAGAAATGGGTTAAATTAAGATATAAGTGTTAGTAAATAAGAAGCTAGAGCTAATGGGCCAAGCAGTGACTTAAATAATATGGTTTCTGTTTGATTACTTCGGGTTTGAGCTGCCGGGGCAGTCAGGAAACAAACAAGCGAACTTCTTACAACACCAGCCCTTGGAAGGTTGAGGTCAAAGGACCTTTCTTTTATCTCTCTTTCTTTATAAATACACAAAATATTAAGTCCCTTTTTATTTGATGAAGACCTTACAGTTTTCGAATCATAGTTTCATTTTACTTGATCTTCATTGGTGTGAAGACAATTTTCTCCTTGTTTTAAGTTTTTTGAGACAGGGTCCTACATAGCCCACTCTGGCCTTGAACTCCCTATGTATTTAAGGGTGACTTTGAACTCCTGATCCTCCTGCCTTCACCTCCCAAATGTACTAGAATTAGAAGCATATGTCACTGTGTTGGGTTCTTAGAAAGGGATTTCTAACTAGTGTTTTATGGTGGTTTGAGAGAAAACGGCCCCCAAAGGGAGTGGCACTATTAGGAGGTGAGGCCTTGTTGAGGAAGTATGTCACTGTGCAGGTGGGCTTTGAGGTCTCTCAAGTTTCACTCAGTGTGATCGTCAGTTGACTTCCTGCTGCCTTCTGGTCAAGATGTAGCCAGCTCCATGTCTGCCTGCATTCTGCCAGGCTCCCTGTCATGATTATAATGGACTGAACCTCTGAAACTGCTGTGAGCCACCACCTCAATTAAATGTTTTCTTTGTAAGAGTTGCTGTGGTCAAGGTGTCTTTTCACAGCAATAAAAACCCTAACTAAGACATGCTTACAAAAGGAATTGGAGGCTGGATCTCAAGATCATGGTGCCTCACACCTGTAATCCAGCATTCAGGAGGCTGAAAGGATCACTGCAAGTTCAAGGTCACCCTGGCTAGATGTAATGGTTTGAATGAAATGAATGAAAATGGTTTGAATAAAAATGGTCCCATAGCCCCATCGGGAGTGACACTTTTAGGAGGTGTGGCCTTGTTGGAGGAAGTGTGTTACTGGGGGTTGGGTTTGAGGTTTCAGAAGCTCAAGCCAGGTCTAGTGGCTCACTGTCTCTTTCTGCTGCCTGCTGATCCAGATGTAGAAGTCTCAGCTCCTTCTCCAGCTCCATGTCAGCCTGCGTGCCGCCATGCTTCCCACCATGACTATAAGCTAAAACTCTGAACTGTAAACTAGCCCAATTATATATTTTCCTTTATAAGAATTGTTGTACTGGGCAGTGATGGTGCATGCCTTTAATCCCAGCACTTGGGAGGCAGAGGCAGGCAGGTCTCTGTGAGTTCAAGGCCAGCCTGGTCTACAGAGTGAGTTCCAGGACAGCTAGGACCCTGACACAGAGAAACCCTGTCTCGGGAGGGGGAGGGGTGGCCACAGTGAATTCCAGGCCAACTTGGAAGAGTCTGTCTCTAAAACAAAAAACAGGACCGGTAAGATGACTAACTGGGTCCAGGTGCTTATTATTAGGTCCAATGACCCGAGTTTTGATCCCTGAATCCCACAAAGTAAGAGAGAACTGACCCTAGAGAATTATCTATCACCTGACCTCTACACTTCTACACTTCTACTGTGACCTACAACTAAACACACAGCAAGAGAGAGACAGAGAGAGAGAGAGAGAGAGAGAGAGAGAGAGAGAGAGAGAGAGAGAGAGAGAGAGGAGGGTGGGGGAATAAATACTTTTGTTAAGTATCCAAATCAAGAGATCTGTTTTCACCCACTCGTCTCGTCTGAGCCTGGCCCCTCTGTTACTTCTCAGTGCATCTTCACTCACTTGGTTCCCCCACTCTGGCCTCTCCGGAGTCCAGGGAGCCTCAAGGCCTTGGTATATGCTGTTTCTCTCCTCCAGGATGCCCTTTTCACAGCGATGCTAGAGTCTTGCTTCCACCAGGCAAAAAGCACCTCTGTACAGACTTCCTGACCACTCTTAAAATTTCAACCCCTTCTCCAGCATTTCACAGCCCTCTCTATAGGAATATATTCATGGGAGGTGCTGTCCCTTAAGATGGTTTCTTGCCTCTCATATTCACAGCAAATATAAACAGATGGGATTATATCGATCAAAGCTTCAGCATAGGAAACGCTCAACAGTCCCTGGGGCTGGGGAAATAGTCCGTGCAGTGATGTGATGATCCACAGGTCTGTGAACACTAACACTGAGAAATGGAGACAGGAGGATCCCTGGGGCTTGCTGGCCAGACAGTGTAGCCAACAGTGTAGTCAACTTCAGGCTTAGTGAGAGACCTATCTCCAAGAATAAGGTAGAGGGCAAGTGAGATGGCTTACCTAGAAAGAGTATTTGCCAAGCCCGATGGCTTGAGTTTGAGTCCCGAAATGTAGGAAGAGAGAACTGACTCCTGTAAGTTGTCCTCACCACAGATTTCTACACATGCACTACGGTATGTATGGCCACACACAAACATGCATGCATGAACACACACACAGAGACATGCATGAACGCATGCACACACACAACAGGAAAAGTTAAATAATGACAAAAGATGGAACGCAATCAAGAAAGACATTGACGTCAACCTCTGGCCTCGACAGGCACTTGCGCATGTGTAAGTGCATACCCACACAATTACATACATGAACATAGCCACACACAAAGTCAGCGATTTTAATCTCAACCAATAGCTCAGGAAAAGGGTGTAGAGATTTGTAAAGAATTAGTAAACTCAAGAACAAGAAAAACAATATAACTCAATTAAAAAATGAACAAAAGACTAGAAGAGACATTTTTTCCCCAAAGACAATACAAAAACAGTCAATGGGCACATGAAAAGGTGGTCACCACCAACAACCATCAGGGAAATACAAACTGGAAGCACCATGAGCTATCACTTCACACTCATGAAAACAGACACGATCAGAAATATGAGTGATAACTAGTGTCGGGAGATATAGACAAAAAGAAGCTGTGTATACTGTTGACAAGAGTGTAGTCACTACAGAACACAGCATGGAAAGTTACTAAAGAAATTGAAACAAGAACTACCATAAAGATCATTGTAACCACTACAAACTTTTTTCTGGATAAAATTAATATATGAAGAAAAATCTTCTAAAAATATACTTAAGCCGGGTATGGTGGCCTACACATATAATCCCAGCACTCAGGAGGCAGAGGCACAAGGATTGTTACAAGTTAAAGGCCAACTCAATCTACACCGTGAGTTCCAGATCAGTCATGGATATAGAGCAAGACCCTGTCATGGCAGCTGGAGAGAAGGCTCGGTGGTTAAGAGCACTTGCTGCTCTTGCAGAGACTGGAGGTCCTTCCCAGCATCCAGGGGATCTAGCTCCCCCTTCTGGCCTCCTCGGGAAACTGGCACATGCGGTACACACAGATGCATGCAAAACACTCATAACTAAATAACAAAACACACATAAACTAAATAAATCTTCTTCAGAAAGACTCTGTCATATCAAATAAAAGTAAAATAACTACTTAAACACCAGGTATATTGATATCCATAAGTGGATGGTGAGTGTGTGTATGTGTGTGTAGTGTGTGCGTGTACATGGGTACATGACTCACGTGTGCATGTGCATACCTGGACACCAGCGCATCTTCCTCAGTTGCTCTTCATTTACTTTACTTTTAAAATTACTTATTTACGTGTGTGTGTGCACATGTGCGCGTATGGATACATATTTTGCACAACTTGTGGGAGTCAATTCTTTCCTTCCACCACGTGGGGCTCAAGCTTGGTGGCAAGAATCTTCACTGCTTAGCATTTTACCAGACCCTCCATCTTATTTGTGGAGACAAGGTCTCTAAGTGACCCTGGGGCTTCCCTATTTGGCTAGACTGGCTGGCAGAGAGCCCCACAGGATCGCCTGCCTCCGCCTCCCAAGTGCTGGGAGATACGCTGCCATTCTTCTATGTGAGTATTGGGATCCTAATTCATATCTTTGTGTTTGTGACAATGGAATCACCTTCATACGCCCATAAATGGGCATTTTAGTGAACCTCCACAAATGGAATTGCTCACACTTAACTGAAAGTGTTTGGACCGAAATGCTTAATATGTGTATTACCCAAAGTTCTATGCAATACAATTTTTGTTGAATATGTAAACAGAGTGCAGTACAAAAAGTTTATAAACACTTACTAAACATCAATTCCAGCGAATGGGATTACTGATAACTTTTAATTTTTCTTTGTAATTTTGCTGGTTTTTTAAATGAGTCACTAAAGTGCTTTTGTTTAACTAGGAAGTAAATGAATTATTCTGCTTTGGGATAGCAGGGTCAATTATTGCTGTGTAGATGGTCATATGGCCTTGACATCTGGCCAAGAGGAGTAACAGTTATAAAAGCTAAAGCACTAAACAGAATTTAAATCACTGGCATTAAGTAATGAAAACAGACAAAGTAAAATGAGTTTGTCCCCACTCACTACCTTGACAGAGGACTAAGTGCAGAGAGAAGACCCAGGAAGAGCCCAGAATGTTCAATGAATTGAAGAGACAGAGCTGTGAGTCCAGGAAGACCAAGGCGTCTAGAGTTTGCAGGACAGACTCCCAAGGTCAGGCTGCAGAGAGAACACCAAGTCCTCCTTGAGAATTTGAAGGATTGGTATATACCCCACATGCTAAGTCTTCGGAAAGGAAGGTCTACAAGGGATTTGATTGGGCACAGAGGTGAGGCTGGGAGCAGTGTCTGCAGCTACCCACCACAACTGGATGTTATAGGATGTTGGGTAGAGAACTCAGAAGGGGCTTGCATTATGTAATTCTTAGATTTAAACCCAGGCCTGGTCCTACCTGTCAGAAGTTACATTCAAGATACAAAAAAGTAAAATGGCCTAAATATGTCAAAGACTCTCGGTTTCTGCTGGGCAGTGGTGCATGCCTTTAACCCCAGTACTTGGGAGGCAGCCGCAGGCAGATCTCTGTGAGTTCGAGGCTACCCTGGTCTACAGAGTGAGTTCTAGGACAGGCAGAGGTGTTACTTGGAGAAATCCTGTCTTGAAAAACAAAAACACAAAAGAAAAAAGACTCTCAGTTACTTTGTTTTTAGTCAGGATGTCAGAAAATAGCTAGGCTTGAATTTTCAGCAATCCTCCTGCCTTAGCCTCTTAAGTGCTGGGACTACAGACATACACTACCATGCCTGGTAAACGCCGTCAGATTGCATAAGAAACAAACGAAAACCCCAAAATAAGACACTAAAATTGTTTTCCTGTAAGGAACATTTCAAGTGTGACGACTGCCCATGGAACAGCACGGTTTTCTGTTCGCTAACTTTGAGCCGACTACAGATACATTAACTGAAGCCCTTGATCAGTTTTCATTAATTATTGATTATCCAACTGCTGAACTAGCGTCCTGGATGTTCCCCACCTTTCTGGCTCTGAGTGCTGTAATCTGGTTTTGCAGGTTAAGAAACCCTCCCAAGGATCCTTACTGCCTGGAAGTTACAGTTCAGACTGCTTACTTTCACGGGAGCAGGTGGGGAAGGCCAGGTCTTAGAATGTAGTCTAGGTGGCCCAAACTGAAGAGATTCTTGCATCTGCCTCCCAAGCATTAGGGACAAACCGACTCCTTACTGTCACAGAACATGTGTCTTAGAATCTGACTCCACCTTATATGCTCAGTTTTATCTCTTGTGCGCCTCATTTATAATCCTTATATATCACAGCCACAGTGAATTACCCGGAGGTTCCAGAACATGGTCCTTCACTGTACTTCATGTGTTCCGTCCTTCACCTGGAAGGTCCTTCTTCCACCTTTCCTATGGCCAATGCACTCCTAACTTTAGAACCAGTTTGGAGTTACTTTTGGACCCTCGTCTTCCAGTGTCAAATGTGCAGTAAGATGAGCAAATACGCTGGGGAGGCAGCACCGTGAGCAGGACGCTTGTCTAGCAGGCATGGAGCTCAAGCTCCAGGGCCACATAAACGAGGCGTGGCACATGCCTACGATCCCAGTAGGTGATGGAGGCAGGAGGAGCAGAAGTTCAGGTAATCTTTGGCTACACAGTGAGTTTGGGACCTGTACTGTATGAGACCTGCCTCAAAAAAACATGAATATATGAAGCACATTGTTCTTAAGAATCTCACTGCTAGCCAGACGTGGTGTGCATATCTTTAATCCTTTAATCCCAGCACTTTTAATGCAGAGGCAGGAGGCTCTCTGTGAATTTGAGGTCAGCTTGGTCTACATAGTGAGTTCCAGGCCAGCCAGGGCTACACAGTGAGATTCTTTCGCAAAGCAAATAAAACAAAAATCATAAGATAAAAAAAATCATAAGATAAACAAACAAAAATCCCTCACAAAATAAGGCCCCACATCTTACCTCCAATGTCTTATCCAGCTGGGCAGCTAGCCTTCCTATTTCATATAATTGCTGGTGGCTGACGGCAACCTGGGCTATGGGTCTTCCTGGGAGGTAAGTGAGCATTCTCACCAAGTAGCTTTTGATTTCAGAACCACTATCTAGATTGAAGGAATGACATATTCTGTCAATCAGTCTTGAGGAAACAATAAAGCTATGTTTTCTTTAGAATTACTATTGAAAGGAAAAGGAATTTCACGGCAAGAGGGAAAGTACACAAAGCTAAGACTATGCTGGAATGTTCTGCTCCAGCGAGGTAGGGCAGAGGGGGTCAAAGCGAACAGAAGGATAAACCATTTACACACTCAAACAGCCCCAACTATGCAGGCCTTGGCTCCAAGGAGACATTTACTTACGAGGTAAATGAATGCCTTACACCCGCATTTTCATATACACTTGCAATGAGGAAAACAAGGTGTAAAAAAAGGGCCGTTCCATAAATCACAGGTTCCTTTGTGGCAAAACTGAAGCGAGTCTTGTATCTGTAACACAGCTCTACTGTCTATTCCTCAGGACTGCAGTGGGTCTTTGTTGTTAGGAGCAATACAAATTAAAAACTAATAGATAAACAAGAGAAAAGATGATGGTGCACTTCATACTTTAAAAAAGATTCCAAGAAAAGGGAACACTCCTGCATTGCTGGTGGGAATGCAAGCTGGTACACCCCTCTGGATGTCAGTGTGGCAATTTCTCAGAAAATTAGGAAACAACCTTCCTCAAGACCCAGTAAGGCCACTTTTGGATATATATCCAAAGGATGCTCAATTGTGCCACAAGGACATGTGCTCAATTATGTTCATAGCAGCTTTGTTTGTCATAGCCAGAACCTGGAAACAACCTAAATGCCCCTCGACCGAAGAATAGATGGGGAAAATGTGGCCCATTTACACAATGGAGTACTACACAGCAGAAAAAAAATAACGACAACTTGAATTTTGCAGGAAAACGGATGGAACTAGAAAACATTATTTTGAGTGAGGTAACCCAGACACAGAAAGACAATTATCACATGTACTCACTCATAAGTGGTTTTTAAACATAAAGCAAAGAAATCCAGCCTACAAACCACAGTCCCAGAGAACTTAGACAACAATGAGGACACTAAGAGAGACTTACATAGATACAATCTACATGGGAAGTAGAAAGTATAAAAAGACAAGATCTCCTGAGTAAATTGGGAGCATGGGGACCTTGGGGGAGAGTTGGAGGGGGCAGGAGAGAGGCAGGGAGGAGAGCAGAGAAAAATGTAGAGCTCAATAAATATCAATAAAAAAATCTATAAAAGGGGCTGGAGAGATGGCTCAATGGTTAAGAGCACTACCTGCTCTTCCAAAAGTCCTGAGTTCAATTCCCAGCAACCACATGGTGGCTCACAACCATCTGTAGTGAGATCTGGTGCCCTCTTCTGGACTGTAGGCATACATGCAGACAGAATACTGAGAATACTGTATACATAATAAATAACTTAAAAAAATCTATAAAAAAAGAAAAAAAATCCAAGAAACTGCTCTCGAGCTCCTGCTGGCTAAACTAGGCATATCTCGGCACTCTTTAAAGGAAAGGGGTCCAGTCCCACAGAGGAGAACCTGCAGCTTTGCGTTCAAGTGTTGTACCCCAGGTCACACACATAGCAATGACAAACCAGGGTTTATAACTCCTGAATGCTCGTTTCATGTTTTTTCTACCACACCACAGCACTAGCGTGTGCAGCCAGTCTAATAAACAAAAAGACGTCCTTTTTTTGGTTTTTCGAGACAGGGTTTCTCTGTGGCTTTGGAGCCTGTCCTGGAACTAGCTCTGTAGACCAGGCTGGTCTCGAACTCACAGAGATCCGCCTGCCTCTGCCTCCCGAGTGCTGGGATTAAAGGCGGGTGCCACCATTGCCCAGCCACAAAAAAGACGTCCTTGAGACTGGAGAAATGACTGGCGAGTGCCTGCCTAGCTTGTGCAGGGGCCTGGGTTCGATCCCTAGCAACACATATCATCTTTTTGCGTTGAATAAGAACAGAAGATATTCTCCGGATTTTCGCAGTTCCCTTAGTTACTATTTAGTGGGACATCTCTAAACAGAAATTTTTAATTTATACTGGATCTCGACGCAAACCATTTCTAAACTATATCTCCACTTGTAATTGTCTTTGATACCGCACTTCTACCTGTAGTCAAAATGCAACAATAAGACTGCATCAGGAATCTCTTACCGACGGACATGAGCGAGGTCGTGTTGCCTCCTTTAGTTCGGCACACGGAGCCCGTTGGAAATCCAGCCGCGCTCAGAAACATGATGACGTGGTTCTGCATTTCAATCAGGTCTGGAGTTTGACTAGACTCCGTGTTGCTTATTTTGAGGACATATTCAGCGGGGTCATCGGTAGTGTCTGTGGTTCTTGAAACGTGAACATGAAAGTTTTGGTCGTCATAGCTAGGGAGGGGCCGGATCTTAGAAACCTTGAACCCAAATACTGATTCTACCAGAGCAGAGGCTTGTGCCTCAGTAAAAGTGGGCTTGGTTAAAGCGTGGGACTGCTGACCGTCTTCACTTGACATCATGTCTAGAGGAAAAATGACAGAAGAGAGACATATTACAATGACAGTTATTTGAATGATTATTCTTTTTTTTTAAAAGATTTATTTATTTATTATGTATACAACATTCTGCCTCCATGTATGCCTGCACGCCAGAGGAGGGCGCCAAATCTCAGTACAGATGGTTGTGAGCCACCATGTGGTTGCTGGGAATTGAACTCTGGACCTCTGGAAGAGCAGGCAATGCTCTTAACCTCTGAGCCATCTCTCCAGCCCTTGAATGATTATTCTTAAGACAGACCAGTGTTTCTTTATAGTGAATCTATGCTTCTTGATTTTTATGCGTAATATTTTTTGGTTTTTGTTTGTTTGTTTGGTTGGTTGGCTGATTAGTTTTTCGAGACAGGGTTTTTCTGTAGCTTTTGGAGCCGGTCCAGGAGGTAGCTCTTGTAGACCAGGCTGTCCTTGAACTCACAAAGACCCACCTGCCTCTGCCTCCTGAGTGCTGGGATTAAAGGCAGTGTGCCACTATCTCCCTGCTTCATTAGTAATGTTTAAAAAAAATCAAATAAGGGAGGCAGAGGCAGGTGGATCTCTGTGAGTTCGAGACCAGCCTGGTCTACAGAGCTAGTTCCAGGACAGGCTCCAAAGCCACAGANAAACAACAAAAAAAAAAAAAAAAAAAAAAAAAAAAAAAAAAAAAAAAAAAAAAAAAAAAAAAAAAAAAAATCAAATTAGTGAATGAGATCAAGAAGATGTCCTGGGGATTGAGAGGAGACTCCGCAGCTAAGAGCACTTGTTTCTCTTTCAGGAGACCTAAGTTTGGTCTCCAGCACTCACAGTAGGCGGCTCCTAACACCTGTAACTTGGGTTCCAGGAGGATCTGACACCCTTTCCTGGACTTTGTAGGCATCTGCAGTTACACGTGCACCCTAGCCACGCGGAGACACTTAAAAATTAAAACAATCTTTAAAAGAAAAGCAAGTTAATGTTCTGTCAGGGCAAAATGGTCCATGTGTATAATCCCAGCACTTGGAAGGCAGGGGCTTGGAGGACTGTTTCAAGTCCAGGCCAGCTTGGTCTACTTTGCAAGTTCTAGGCTGGTCAAGTTGTCTAGGGAGATGTTGTCTCAAACAAAACAGAAGTGGATGTGTTGGCAAGTGAATCCTTGTGGTATAAATTATTTTTAAACTCCCCTCCCAAATTGAAGGAACAATTCTAAGAACAAACACGCTCACAGATGCATTTTTTTAATCATCCAATTCAATCATTTCTTTTGTCTATCAACTATACAGGGAAATGTAGGTGCAACAGAATTAAGAGATGTGTCAAAACTAGTACTATGTTCTAAACCCAGCTCTGTGGGTTGTAAAGATGGTTCACAGGGTGGGGGACCAATATGTGAGCATGAGGTTTGCACTTACGGCAACCGTAAAAAGCCAGGCTCGATGGCACGTGCCTGCAATTCTAAGTTATTGCATTCTTTCATGTTTTCATTTTTTGGGAAAAGGTTTCGTGGCATCATATATCCTGGACCTTCTGATCCTTCTCCTTTACCACCCAAAATGCTGAGATTGCAGGGAAGTACCATTATGCTTGGTTTATTTGGTGCTGGGGATCAAACGCAGGGCCTCATACACGCCAGGCAATCACTACATACACCAAGTGAACCACGTCCCCAGCCAAGCTGTTGCATTCTTGACGTCTCCCGTTTACCTGCAACCGTGGTATTTGCTTTCAGAAGCAAGTTAAGCCTTTCAGGTTTTGTTCGCTAACACATTGTCACAAAGATTAAACAGGGTTTCAAAACAATCTTTGCACCTGGGACTTCTGGAAACCAATACATTCTGTCACATTGCCTTTGGCCTTAAGACTTAACAAGGAATTTTAAACATTCCTTCTGAGTATATATATATCATAAGGCCAGTGTTCATAATGTAATGTGAACTGAAGCATTAATTCCAAGGTGAAATCCTTTCCAACTCTGACAGTATTTACGGGTTTTAAAGCAATGCTGAGCGTGGTAGGAATTTGATAGGGAGCTGGGTGTGGTGGGACACGCCTGTTGTCCCACCGACCCAGAGAGGAACAGAGAATGCTATTTGCTGAAAGCCAGTCCAGACTGCCTCTCAGTTCCAGTCTAGCCCCGGCTACAGCGGAAGACTCCTCTGGAAAAGAAAAAGTTCTTAGAGTTGAAAAGACTGTTAAAGGCAACTAGTGAAGGCCAATCTCCAGAAAACGTTCCCACGACCTTAAATGGGGTTTGTTAGGCATCTTTTTGCAGAGCCTTGCTTGCTAAAGCAGGGCAAGGTATTATTGGCAGGTCTGATCACAAGACAACCTGGTGCACGACACAGGTGCTAAGTTGCAAAAAGTTGTCCAAGTGCCAGCTGCGCTAACAACCTCTGAAACTTCAGCCACGCAGCCTCTCGAAGATCTCAGCAACGCCTTCTCTAAAAGTCCCTTCTAGCATTAATATCTAAGCTGTTTTTGCTGTTGTTGTGTGCCAGAAGAACTCCACGTCGTGAAAGAAAGGGCACACACTGAAACCTGCCACTGCAGCAAATACACGCAAAGGAAAGTTTTTTGTTTTTTTAAGATTTTTTATTACATATACAGGGTTCTTCCTGCATGTATCCTACAGGCCAGAAGAGGGCGCCAGATCTCATTACAGATGGTTGTGAGCCACCATATGGTTGCTGGGAATTGAACTCAGAACCTCTGGAAGAGTAGGCAGTGTTCTTTACCTCTGAGCCACCTCTCCAGCTCCAAAGGAAAGTTTTTTATCAGAGATTTCCATCTTAACCAAATGTGCCCCGTGTGTGGAGAGGATGGAGGGCGAATCCAAATCCTATCTAGGTGTTAGTGTACTTCTTGCCAACAACATTTAGCTCCTGAAAAGACCCTCAAACGGTTTGGGCTTCTAACTGGGAGGTTGGCACCATATTCATAACTTTTGTTGAACGAAAGGGGAACGAGGAAGGAGTGGACCTTACACTCTGCACTTTGTGCAACGTACACCAGAAAAAACCAACAATAAAACCCGAAACCAGCGTTTCCTCTCTTCCTCTCAAGTGTTACAAAGTCCCGTGAACTCTGCCCTAGCACTTCTTCCAAGTGGGTGGGTCTTCAGCGACCCTTTTGCTATGCGTTTCCAAAGCTGGGAAGCAGGCGCTTGTATTCCCTGCATCTATTTGGTACGCCAATGGTTGCCACCACTCGCAGCGCAGTGCACAGGCTGCAGGAACTCTCTCTACACGGTCATTTTCCAAGGGCGATTGGAAGCAGCAGTACCAGCTGCTCCAGCGGGTCTAGCTGCGGAGAAAGGACAACGATGGGAGGGGGGCGACCCATAGCTGGGTTCCCGCCCATGTGTCATGTAAGTCCAGGGTAGCCTCTAGGATGGCTTCCATCCCGCATCGTGCAGGCCCGCGAAGGGTGAAAACCTCGGGATTGCGCTCTGAGATTTCAGCCCAGTTAGGGCTGGACAGTGAGCTGCCCGGCCAACAAGCAGCGAGTGTGAGGAGCGCCAGGGCGACAGGAGCCACCCGCCCGCTTTCAGCGACGTCCCATTCACGGAGACCCCGGGCTCGTCTAAGCCTCCCCCACTGCCGCTCACCCGCCGCGACCGGACGTCCCAAGGCAGACCCGCTCTCCCGCTCTCCTCGTTCAGCAAGCCCGAAGCCACAGTGCGGGACGTGGAGGAATGACCCGCGGCCGCAAGCCCCGCCCTGCTATTGGCTCCGCCCACATTCCGCCACCCAATCAACGCACGCTACTGACCGCCCTGCCCAACCCTTTTCCCGCCCCCATCGGAGGTCAGGGACCCGGCTCTCTAGTTAGGATTCAGAACTCTTGCTTCTTTCTGATTGGTCCCCGAGTAGCCATTTAGTAGACTTTGGGCCCTTCAGACCCGTAGGCTTAGTCTGGCAACGACTTGGAGCGTGTCTGTCAGGAACTGCCTCTTGAGAGAGCTCACTTGGCTTTCTTTCCTCAATCCTTCCCGCTCTTTCTGGAAGCGCGTCTCCTGGAGGCCATCTTCATAGATCGCGGCCAGAGTTGCATTCTCCCCAGAAGGGAATCCCTAGTCCTGAAACCTCAAGGATCGGTCCCCCTCTGTGAGGCTAGGGGGCTCGGGGTCTGGGTACTGGAATGTTCCAACCCGAAACAGCTGTATCAGCAAACCTACGCTGTCTGTGCTGGCGGGAAAACTAAAGTCTAGAGTGCACAGAACAGTCAGACTGTGGGTACCAACTCTCAGTTCAGGACCTTGGCTACAGCACTCATTTTGAAGCGAAGTGACTCAGTACAACAGAGGGAGAGAGAGAAAGCTGTTAGCACCACAGTTCAGATCTGGGGTGACAAGCGACTCTTTCTTTCACACCGAGGAACAGAGCTGGCTGACACTTGAGCTAGAATCCCTACTTAGGTCAACGGGAAAGTGCTCAAGAGCTTGCCCGGGATTCTGGGACAAGAAGTTATGGGGACCGTCTTAATTTTCAAGGACACAAGACCGTGTAGCTGGCCGTCCTTCTCCAGCTAGTTGGACTCCTCTGATCAGTCAGAGCACTCTCCTGAAAGAACCTTGTCCGTCTGTCACTAGGGTTGGCAGTTTGGTCTCCGTCTGATGTTTTGGTGTGTGCAGTTCTCATGTTTTTCCCGTCATAGCAAACTCACGGGCGCGATAGCCACTCTGATTTATTAACCTGCCCGTTCTCCCCAATTCCCACCAATCACCTAGCGTAATGAGAAATTTGTTCCCTCCTTTAGATATATGATTCTTATCCGTTTCATTTCTAATCTTCAAGTAGCAAGGGTGTTTTTCCTACACTTTAGGATGTCAGTGACTTTGACTTGGATTTCCTGTAACCAGAAATGAAACACTCTGTGCGTTCTAAGGCCCCTCTGCAGAATCTGAATTCTTCTCACCTTCTCTTACCAGTCTGCTTCTACTGGCCAATTTTCTTTCTCCTCAGCACTAGGGTTGCAGAAATGCACAGTATTGTCTGGCTTTTTACGTGGGTTCTGGGGATCTGAACTCAGGTCTTCATGCCTGGGCCGCAAGGACTCTAACCCACTGAGCCAGCTCCTGTGACATTCTTCAGAATTGCATAGTCTGGTATAGAGACGGCTGTGCAATCCTAGCACTTGAGACATCGAGACGGGATTCTGAGTTCAAGGCAGCCAGGCTGGGCTACATAGGGAAGCCCTGTTGTAAAGGAGTAAAAAAAAAAAAATTCTTTCTGTAACTTGCCATTTTCACTTTAAGAAGATATTTTCCCATTTTAAGGGTATCTTTATACATAAACTTTTTGTACATATTAAATTTTGGTTGAGACAATCTCACGTAGCCCAGGGTGGATTCCTGTTGTCACCTCCAAGTGCTGAGATGATAGTGCGCACCACCTTGCCCAGCTTTTGTGTATCTCAGATTGTCTTTAGGATGAACTGTTCAGTATTTTAAGATTTCTAATGTGTGCTGCCAAACCATTGTTCCCTCAACATTGGAGATTTTGTGTGTGTTTGCATATGATGTATCACACACACACATATGCACACACACCTCCAATTTGAAACAAAGACAATTTGCAGTGCCAGGGCTCAGTGTCTAACATGTATAATGTTTTGGGTTCAACCTCAACAGAAAATGTGTTCTAGAAAACAATCTTGTAGTTTAAAAAATATATTAAAGCTGGGCATGGTGGCACACACCTTTAATCCCAACACTGGGGATACAGAGGCAAGTGAGTCTCTTTGAGTTTGAGGACAGCCTGGTCTACAAAGCATGTTTCAGAACAACTAGGGTTGTTACACAAAGAAACCCTATCTAGAAAAACCTGTGTGTGTGTGTGTGTGTGTGTGTGTGCGCGCGCGCACGTGCGCACAGGTGGCCATAGGCAACATTGTGGCATCAGTTCTCTCCTTCACCTTTGTATGGCTCTGGAGATAGAATTTGTGTGACCAAGTTTGTCTAGCAAGCACCTTCTATTGCACTGGGGCAACCATGCAGTTTGTATTTCCTTTATATAATGAACATTCAGAGTTTACTACTAACACAATGGATATATAAAATTCAATGGTCATATGAGCAGACTATGAGGATTGTATGTATACATCTGTTTTTGCAATAATGACTCATTTTTAGGTACTAATATGACACTGCTGGTACATGTTCTGAGAAATGCATCCTAAGGTGATCCCATTGTGCAAATGTCAATGCAATCATACAAACTAAATTAGAAACCAGTTCTATGTCGTCTGTAATTCACTGGTAATCTCATTTTGCAAATGTCAATGCAATTACACAAACTAAAATGGCTTGCTGTAGGAAATCCTACAGCCAGTACTGCCCACTGGGGCGTGGCCTCTTATACTATTTATGCCAATGTAAAGCATGCATCTGGCCTCTTTTCCGGCTGCGGGATTCCGTTGCTGTTCTCCATTCCAGCAGAGGATATTGATTTGTGAGTCTACCCCCATAAATAACCATCTATTATTCTCAATTCTGAGCCAGTGTGGGATTTCTTTTAAGTGTCCTTCTTCAATGGCTACTCGGTGACATCTTAGAAACCAATTCCATGTGGTCTGTTATTCACTGAAGTTACTACGTGGCCCAAACATAACCTAAACACCAGTGGATAGCATAGCAGTTGTAAAACCTATCCAAACAACTCTCATCAAAACAGCAAGACTAGCTGTAACTGGTAATTAGGAAGCAAAACTGAAATCAAGTGATAAATGCACCAAGGCTGTTGTTTCCATGAAGTCTGAATATCCAAACTACCAGGATGCACTTGTGTTGGTATTTGCTTTTGTGACACTACTCTAGAATCTGAAATTGTAATCATTTTGTCTTTGGATGTCAATGTTGGAGAATATTATTTTAAAGTGTGATGCATTTTTTCCTACTACTTTTGCTAACAATTCAAAGGTGTTTGATTAAAGAAAATTAACCTGTGAGCAGGAGGATGTAGCTGACAAGCAGTGGTAAAAAGGGACCATGTGTAGCAAGGCAGAGAGAAGGATTTTTTTTTTTTTTTTGAAGATGCCAGCAAAAGGAGGTTCGCTACTTGCTATTCTACTTGCCTCTCTGAGTGAGCAGAATCCCACCTCAAACCTTGAATTCTGAGTTTTTTAGATTTAGATAGTTTCCCTTAGTGGCTTTAAAAGATTTGGGACCTGCGGGAACAGAATCCTCTCAGACTGCAGGCCTAGCAGCTGAAGCAGTGCTTAAGGGGCAGCCATTGCAGATAATAAAAAAAAAGTCAAACAAACATTAAAAAAAAAATGGCACCCAGTGGGTGGTAGAAGCACACAGGAGGGGTCACACCAGCCAGCTCTTCTGCATTTGCAGTCTGGACCTCCCTACGCTAGCAGTCCACTGTGACTTGCCTGGAAAAGTCAACAGAATTGGGGAGAGATTTGGGAAATCCTTTAGAAAAGTAGGAGAGAGTTAGATAATATTGAAAACTTCTTCTACATTAAGAATGGGAAAATAACAATGCAGGATGCTAGGGATCTCTATACTGCTACTTTAGAAGGCGTGAAGTTAGCAGCAGAATATGGGAAGATCAATGATTTAACCAACACTGATATAATACTGATAATCAGTACTGTCAGTATGGTATTTAATGCCTTATCAATAATAGCCCTGGTGGTTTTTGTTCTAATAATGATGAGTGGATTGATAGGATGCAGGCCTTGGAAAGATATACTAATAAAAAAGAAAAAAAATGCTCAGACATGGACAGAGGAATTTAGAGCAGAACTTACCACACCATTGCATTGTAAAACTGGAGAGGAACAGCCTAAGGTTATTAGAATACCAACTTTAATGTATCTGGTTACTGTTCAACAACCACCAGATGATATGCAACCCCAAGGCTATGCAGACGTTAACTGGAATTCTGTAGATATATTAGAATTAAAGAGGTTTAAGGAGCAGTAGTTTCATATGACATGCATTCACCCTTTGTGAAACAGATGTTAAATTCATGGGCAACTGGAATAGAAGTATTCCACAAGACTGGAAGGACTTAGTTACAGCCATATTATAATCTGGTCCTCAATTACAATAGAGAACTTGGTGTAGAGAGGAAACCAGGGCTCTAGAACAATGAGGTAGAGCTAGAGGTCATGAGATTTCCCAAAAACAAATTATTGGTGAGGGTCTGTATGCTGGTTTGCAAAGACAGTGTATGTTGAATGTTAACACCCTGATTCTATGTTATATAACAGCTTTGAATGCTTGGGACTGGGGTGAAGAATCAGGAAAGAGGACTGAGTCATTTACTAAAATTTTACAAGGCCTGAAAGAAGCTTTCACTGATCTTTTACACATATTAACATAAGCTTTAAAAAGATTCTGATCCAGATGCTTGACAAATATTAATTGAAACTGGTTTTTGAAAATGCTAATGCAGAATGTAAAAAGGTGGTAAGGCCTTTAAGGGCAACATCAGCACCTATAAAAGAATGAATCAGAAATACAGTCAATATTGATTCTAATGATGATACCTGGATAGGAGCACTGCTAAAAATATGAAGAAAAATCAAAATATTAGGTGTGTTAATTGCAGTAGACAAGGTCATCTGAAAAAGGAGTATAGTATAGGTAAGGTGCTCCTAGAAATGATGCTTATTCTAGAAATAATTCAAACAGAAGGCCCCAGCCCTCTGGAGTATGCAGAAAGGGGGGGCAAAGACCAACACTGGACTAATGAA